TCGGAAGAGCCAAATGCTTTCACTCCCACCTTTGCTCTCATCTCTTCGAGCTCTAACCGAAACTACACATCTAACCACACTTTTGGAAAATGTGAAGAGAAACAAATATATACACTATATTCACAAGTATGCAAAACATGTAAAATTCACAAATATGGTAAACATATACAAGTATCAATATAAAAAAGTGAAAATGGACAATATATACATATCTAAAAAACTCAAAAACAAAGAAACTATTGCAATACGATCCAATAAAAACACCAATCTCCGGCAACGACGTCATTTTGTTGGTGCGGTAAAGCGGCAATCAACAAAAGTTTTTGAAAGTATTTATTCGGGAAATTATCGTGTCCACAGAGATTAGTGTTATTGAACTGTCGTTCGACAACTTAAATGTTATTGATTTTAGGTTTAAAATGAGCTTAAGTTAAATTCGAGAAATAAAACTTATGAACAGAAAAAGAATTTTTTTTTTTTTGGAGAGTAGAGAAATCACAGGTTTGCATTTCATCTACCCTATCAAATACTTAAACTTACTATCCAGTTGTACGCAACCTAAATCACTTGTCAACATTATCATGTATCTCTTACACAGAGGTTATCTCTAACATAGAGAGAGATAATGACCATATTACTCGCGTTGGCAATCTCTCAGTGCAACACAAACAACACAGAAGCATTAAATTCTGATACCCAAGTGAATATTAAGCTTAAATCTATCTCTAAAATCTAGAACCTAATAGATGTTCATCCTAAATCCGGATTCAACCTGTCCATGTATGCAACAAATCAAACCCAAATAAAGAAAGAAATTATCAACATTAATTTGTAAAATAAGTTTTATACAACACCATGAGCAATAAATATACATATAATCAAGGTAAACTTACATACAAACTCACAACAAATAGAAACTACAAAGGAAAGAGAGAAGAGGAATCAAAACATCTCGCGGTGTCAATCACGATCAAGAATCATCCACCCCTAATCATCGAGTTTCAACCTCCATTGATGCTTTCTAAGTTCTAAACTATCAAAAATGAAGGTTTGACGAATTGGGAACAAATACCCCAAACCATAACCTAAAAAAAATGTGTTTTTACCCCTTTAATGTGTTTCTTCCCATACTAATTTTCCTGACGAAGCAACGGTTCGCTCAACGAGTAAAGGAGACATTTTCTACTGCTTCTGGAACTTCTAGCACGTGTCTGGCTCGCCTGGCGAGCTCGGGGCGAGAGCTGACAGTAACAGAAAAATTCAGCATCTTGTTTTCTTCATAACTTTCAAACTGTAACTCCGTTTGAGGCCCAGTCGGAAGCGTCGGAAAGCTTATTCAATGCTCTATCTTAAAATGACTAAATAGCAATGCTTGAATACCTACAAAAATGAGATAAAAACAACTAAACTCAGTCATATTTACATGAAAATACTAGTATACACTAAATATACACTTTTACAAACAAAGTGGGGTTTTATTCAAAGAATTCAATACAAATGAATTGATAAGTGCCGCAAAACTACTACTCAAAACAAGACATTTTGACACTTATCAGGTCCTCCACTTCTTGTCCAGATATTTCAAGGTATTGATGATTTTTCTTTCAAGAGAAATATCATCTACCAAACTCTCTTTCTGACTTCCTTAGTGTTGGATACAAAGGATATACATTTGTTCTTCTTTTTTTACCTTTCATTGATGGACATCTCAAAGATTCGTAGGGAACCAATGAGTTCATCAACCTTTATATTGCTTAGGTTCTGAGCTTCTTCAATAGCAGTCACTTTCATATCAAACCTCTTAGGTAATAATCTGAGAATCTTTCTGACAAACTTTTATTCAAAAATTCTTTCACCTAAGGAAAATGATGTGTTGGCAATGTCACACAATCATATTTAAAACTCACTCATAGTTTCATCTCCATTCATCCTCAGGTTTTCAAATTTTGTTGTTAGTAGCTGCAACCTTGACATACGAACTCTGGATGTGCCTTCATGTGCAGTTTTTAGAATCTCTCATACTTATTTAGCTTCTGAACATGTATTGATCAACTTAAACATGTTATGGTACACACCATTGAAATTCACATTCAATTGCTTGGAGTTCCCAAGAGCTTCACCATATTCACCATCAATCTAATCAACCTCTAGTTTTAGGCTAGATGTACCATCTTTAGAGGTAATCATTGGATGTTTCCATCCTTTGATCACAACTTTCCATGCTTTGTTTCCAAAGGATGTGAGAAAAGCAACCATCATCACCTTCCAATAATCATAATTTGTGTCATCTGAAATAGGTGATTTGTTTACTGATCCACCATCTTTAATTATCTCCATTTGAGAAAAATTTATCTTCCGTGGAGCTCACCAACATGCTAGGGTTCCTGCTTGGATTCCAATTGAAACTCTATTCCTCAAAGGACAAATGTCGAACTCGATGCTTCGACAACTTGTTCGATAAGATACACCATAAGCACTATAATAACAAGTACTAGAAGATGAAGCAAAAAGCAATAAAGAACATAATCAATTGTTTACCTAGTTCAGTGAAACTACACCTATGTCTGGGGGATGAGTCCAAACTCAAGAAAGAAAAATCACTTATTAGTAGTTTAGTAAAATTAGTCTTACAAGCAACAAAAAACCTTATGTTTTCCAATACCTTTTCCTAACACTTACCTGATGACTGTCAATTTAGAGTCTCCCCTAAACATGAGAATCTACTCACTTTCTTCTCTGCTACAAAATCAATGATAGAGACAAACAACCACTAAACACAAGTGATCAACTTCAATCTTAAAAAGATGAAAGAATGAACATTACAATTCAAGTAGACAAACCTTCTATGCCAAGTTACTGAAACCTAGAGTTGTACATAACAATGTTTAATTTACAACTCAACTAGACAACCCTTTTATGTCAAGTTACTGAAACATATAGGTGTACATAAAGATTTTACACTAATCATATTAGGGCTTTAGTGTGGAATACACGATACAAAACCCCACACTTTAAGATCTTCATTAGGAGTGCTTTCTTTTCAATATAGGTTTTGAGCTCCTTATATAGCAAAATAACTCTGGGTTTTTCTCCTTATATGATATCTTTGATTTCGTTCAAAATGAATGCATAATTTGTCGGATATTTGATTTATTCCTTGAATATCTCCAACAAGATATGATTTGTTTTAATTTAAATCTTCATTTAAAATCGAATTAATCTTCATCTAGTTGTCAAACAAATCACCTAATCATATTGTTAAATTAATAACAATAAAACTTTTAATAAATCTTCTGCAGAACATTCTCCAAACTGCAGTAGTATGGCGCCTGTTGCACAAGGTCGAATGTCGTACCAACGTGTTAGAGCATCGCATCCAGCATGCATCCCTTTTGCAGTTTCATACAACTTTAGCAAGTTAGACCAATCTTGAACACTTGAACGTTTCGCCAAATTATTGTTTTGCTAAAATACAGTCAATCCAAAAGGCTAATCCAATAGGAACTACATCCTAACTCTACGTTGACTAATTGAAAACGGTTCTAACTACTTGGACCTTCATTTCTGTAAACTACTTAGGAGCACAACTTTCATTTTCATCTTGATCGTTGGTCCATATCCACCAATCACCCACACTCTACGATAAGACAAATATAAAATGATTATAACCGCTTTTTCTATATAAGTGTGAATCTAACTCACACAAATATTATTTTATTCACACTTACAAGATTTCATCTCATTCAACGCTGACTTAAAAGTTTGTATGCTAATTTTTTTTTTCACATACCCTATTTCAAATCATCGAAAAATTATAACAATTGTATCAAAAGTCTCAATGCGATAACCATCCTCAATATTTCATTTATTTATGCTTCATTACTGAATAAATATTTAAGTTAAATTTTCTTACCTACTCAACATGAAAATCATAATATTATCGCCTATGTTAAGGACCAGTGTACACAACGACTTTTACTCTATTGACACTATTTCAATGATAATCATTTTCTTTTTTAGCAGCTTCTCTCATCAATTAGTCTTTGATAGTCACATGTCCCATGAAAAACTCTTTTCTTAGTTCAACTCAAAAGATAAGTCTATTACTCAAAAAAGTTTTACCTACTCAAATATGAAACTCTATTACTCAACAAGGATTGTTCAATCTCCCTACAAGACTCTAATTTTGCACGAATGACAAACTCTGTGACACTACACTAGGACTCCATTATTAGTTGCTTTCAATCACTATGCACACGTTCAACAAGCAAACTAGTACATTTCACTTGTTAGTAGTAGTTGTACAATAAGAAACCGCCTCCATACAAAAAAATAAAACAGAAGAAGGACATATTTTAAACACAAAAAGGACATTGTTTTCAGAGCTCAACCTTTTGAATTTATGTCTCTTTACCAATGCTTCCTTATCAATATTAATAGCAATGAATTTTTCATTTAAATAATGAAGCAATTGCTATAGTGTGGCTATGGACCTTCTCTGTTTTTGCAATTTAAGTAAGCGTGTGAATAAGTAGGCCCATCTTTCCTTTCTTGTGTCACATGACCCCTCCTTTGACTTGTGTCTGGTATGCATAGCAACTATCACAATATACAGTTTTCATCCCATCATCACACACACGTTGCCTCAATAATTGTGTATGACAAGATGTCCTGACCTATCAAATATTGACACAGACACCTGGACACAACTCTAACACTGACACCGACACATTTTGGCCAATAATCGATAAACACTTTTTCAATCTAAAATAGCGTTGCTACATAAGTTATAAACTATATAGTAAGAGATTCTACGCATTCACAAAATCAGCATTCCTAATTTCGTGAATGCATAGAATTTCGTAATCTTGATTGTACGAAAACGAAATTCAAATTAACAAAGAGCTAGAGAGAATTGCATTGAAAATGAAAACTCATCTTGAAACTACCATTATTAATAATTGATACCAAGACATGCAAAAGCTTTTGCCATTATAATATTATAGTGGATCTTGAGTTAGCCCTAGTTGTTGGTAATTTGAGTGGTCAATGCTATTTAATCTAATACAACATAACACTTGCTCTGGCAGCTCCTCAACTTTGTTCCCCTGAACATGAACAAATTTTATATGATAATAATTAGTAGAAGCATAAGATAAAGTTCATTTAATGTTGTGTCAAAAGAGAAAACTACATGCCTGAATTGTAAGGCCAACATCTAGAGTGCAGTTCTTTAATCTGTCCATGAATGCTTCAAACCCTTTCCTAGAGATATAGCTAAATCTATGCATATCTATATCAATCTCAAAGTAATTTTCTCCCTGTAATTATAAATAAAATAAACATATGAGTTAGGTTATTAGAAAGAAAGTGCTGCATGTGGATATTCATTGTCTTTTATGATGAAATGACACCACTTTAAATGGTGGGCCAAATATAAAGGTACCACAATTAATCCATAAAAATTTAAGCAAAGAGTTGTACAAAATTATCAGAGCCAACATGAAAAATTGATTTTTATAACTCACTTGTTTTTTGAATGTCTTTGATTTAATTTAATGATATAAGAAACATAAGTACCATGGCATTAGCTTCAATATTAATTGTTCATCATAAAGCTAGGCTGGCAAATTTATTGAAACTTTGAAAGAAAATATTGAAGATTTACAATGAGTAGACTAGACTTACCGAGTAAAACTCGTGCTGGGGACGCGAAAGAACAGGTTTCTCATTGTAAGCCTGCATAAGCTTTCTTTCTGCTGCACTCAATTGAAGGTCTTCAATATTGCCAACACGGCCTAGAATTTTCAACCGCTCTCGAAATGGCACAATTGTATCGAGCGGAAAACCTTTTACCTTTTCAACTTCATCATCCATAAACTTCTGTCAAACGACATGGAGAGATTTTATGAACATAACGCGAGAGAAAACAGAACAATATCATTCTAAGTGAGATGTATTGGTAATCTCAAGCTCTGAATTGAGACATGAAGATCTAACTTACTCTGATGTTTTCTTGAAAGTGTAGAGGAAGTTCCTTGGCGTAACTTTCCGAAAGTTTAAAGTACAAAACAAAGCTCGTTCCTTTGCCATCGGTCTCACCTTGAAAAAGTGTGGTAGGGTAAAGCGGGATCTAAAATCGACAAAACAAAGAGTATCAGAATATGCAGCAACTATATGTAATACAAATTTTTGGAAAAAAGACTAAAAAGTGTGACTAAGTTTAAGCAAATTAGGAGTACCTGAACATTAACAATAAGAATGGGTGGAAATTTAGCAGATGAACTACTAACAGTAGGAAGTTCAACAAACCGAGCTATATGGTCGACTTTTCGCGGAGATAAGAAAACATCTACTCCAAACGGATAATATGCGGAATAGTTAGGAGCCAACTCCTTCTTCCTGTCCCTGTCATACAGAACAACACCTAAATCAACAATATGAATTCGAAACATGAATTTGAGAATGTGGCTTAAACTATAGGATACCGAGTTCAATTCTGACTCAAAAAAAGATAATATTCAGAATCTAATCTTACTTGAAATAAGTTATGCCTCGGACTTTGAAAGTTCCTGGTTCAATGTGTGACCAACAATCAAGCATCTTCTTGTCAATTGGACAAAAGGGTACTTGACAACCTGCAATTGGTCTTTGTAGAAGTGTCTTTGAAGAAACTAAAAAGCCATAAAAGTAGCAAAAAGAAGAATCAGAATATTTATATTTACACACAACTGCAACACAATATGCATTCTTCTTAGAAAAATATAATTTACCGATTCCTGTTTCAGCGATGTAATTGATGGTAATAAAAAAAAAGCATTTCGTTCCTTCAATCTTAAGGTGAATTACAATAAGTTAATATAAAAGAATGTTGTGTCAAGAATTCGAACTCTCACATAGACTAGAAACTTTGGTAGGAGTCTTTTTCCTTGAACTAGGAGGACTTGAACACGACGATCTTCGCTTTTCAAAAGAAGGAACGGTAGATGCAAGACATGGTAAACAATTGTTAGGAAGAATGCCGCAATTATCCAAAATTCCTTCGTCCCTATTGGAACTCGCATCAACAGAGGAGATATCGTCAAGGAACACAGCTTCATTCACTTCAATTGCATTTCCATCTACACCAAAATTTTGAACATCTGAACTTCTAGCAGCCTCGTAAATAACCGGCTTCTGAATTTGATCAGTTGAAACTCTATGGTTGGCACTGACAGCATCTTTAAAAGATTGAAAACTTGATACAGATCCACCTTCAATTCCGTTCAAAGATACAACATCTGCAAATATCAGTCATACTTAACAATTCAGATACACTTCCGAAAAAATATTTTACAGTTTCAATCAATTATAACCATTGGATCATAATCATACCATCCGGAACACTCTGGTAATCATCATCACAGTCAGAATCAAACACTGTAGCTGAATCAAACCATGCCTCATCAATAGTTCCTCCTGCCACAAAAATCAAAAGTTCATACAAAATTCAACTAGGATTTTCATCAAATAGAAACTATGCACTAAAACAGGAAAAAGCCAAAACACTTAAGTAATGAATAGCGATAGATATGAACATAAGAACTCAAATAACACAGTTACCCCAATTTTCTACCATGTTAATTCAAAGACCTAAACTTTAGCCTACCCTGCTGAAAAATCAACACAAAATATTGACAATGCTAAGTGAAAAAGAAGAAAAAAAAATGTAATTTGCACCAATCACTGACATTAGCTTCAAAGTTTGCTTTACATAAAATTTCCACAAGTAACAAACCAACCTCACCTACAATATTTCTTAAAGTCTAAACTTTCAACTACCCAAAAATAAAAATCAAAAAAATTGAAAAAAATAATAACAATAACCAAAAGAACCTCTTAATCCATGTTATAATTCATTGCAATTCTGACAAACTCACCGTTCTTCTTCAACAAATTTCAATTCCAATAAAACACAAACAACAAATTCGCTCCAAAACCAAAACCAAAACAACCAAAATCATTATCTAAAATGCAAATAAAATAAACAAAAAAACATGAACATAAAGATGAACCTTGGAAAGTGGGATTGGAAAATGAATGTGGAGGCAAATCAACTGTATTAGTATTAGTATTATTAGTATCCAATGATGAAGAAACGTTTTTTCTGAATCCAATAGTTCTTCTTCTTTTTTTCTTGGAAGAGTTAAACATTCCTCCAACACAACCTTGTTGACTTGAAACACAAGCTCCCATATTCTATAACCTTACTTTCAGATCCTTCTTCAACCACAAAAAATATTCCAGAAACTTCTGTTGCATAGAATGATAAGAAAGAAAGCAAAGAAACAACACAGAAGCTGAAAGTGAATATAATAGAATGAATACACAGAGAAAAGATAAAAATATAAATATAATAAAATCAAAACAGAGTTTGTGAAAGTTGAAGCCACCTTTTATTTTATTTTTTCAAGTTATAAGAAAAAAAAATATAAAGACTCCAACTTTCTCGCCCTCATGATGATAATCGAATAAATAAATAAAAAAGCTATGAGAGGAATATTAAAAATCAGAAATATGGAAAATCGTACCTTACCGGGTTGTTCAAAGTTGAACTGAAAATTGGATATTTTGCTAATTATTTTATTTTATTTCATTTATATTTTTAGTAATTTATTTATTTATTTACTATTTATAATTTTTTTAAAGTTGATGGTTTTTAAAATTTACCATTTATAGTTTAATTCTGCTTAAATGGATTAGATCAATTGAATTATGATTTTGCATGTTTTAAAAAGAAGATGGATTAAGGTGGTTGTTGGTTTTTGAGTTTAAATTTAAAAACCATGTGCTCATGTAAAATGAATTTGAATTGAATTTTACTTTAAATTGATTTTGACTTTTCAAATATTTAATATGTAATATAAAATTGATTTTAATTTTTAAAAAATTTTAAAATATAAAATTACTTTGAATAAAGCAAGTTACAAATATTTAAAATCTCATCGGTCTAATGAACTGGACTGAAAATTGATCATTTTACATATTATATTATATTTAAAATTTATTTATTTTAAAGAGTCTATTTGTTTGAGAATAAGTGATATATATTATTTTGTTTAAAATAATTTAAATAAAAAATTAACTTAATTAATTTTTATAAAAAGAATATTTTAATTATTTAATTTTTTCTAAAACATATTTTGGGATATCAAATTTTCAAAACTTATTTAAACTTGAAAATTTTCAATAATTTTCTTTTAAAATTTTTTTTTGAAAAATTTACCAAATTTTTATTGTGTTTTACTTTTCAATAATGTATATTTATGGTAATGAATATAAAAAATAATTTTTTAATTTATCAAAATGAGTAATTTTTTTTTACTATTTTCAAAAAAGTTTTCATAAAAATTACATTTTTAAACTCTAAAAAAGAAATACTTTTGGAAAGCTAAAGTAAATAGCCGAAAAATTAAATTATAATCTAAATGTTTCATTAGTTCGATCTCATCCTATTATAAAATTATTTATAAAAAAAAAAAAACCGAAAAAGATAATAAATCAAAATATTGATCCTCTTTCAGATTTTACATGAGAAAGAAAACAAGAACACAAAAAACATTGCAAAACAGTGACGGCAGTTGTCACAATTGGCAGCAAAACTCACACAAAGAAGGCCCCAGAAAAGGCTCCACGTGTCAAAATCCAATTGGCGAAACGTGTGAAATATAAAAAAGTGGCAGAGTGCAGAAATTGTGGACCAAAGTGTAGTTTCATTTCTACGTTACTGTAAACAATTTTGGAGTTTATATAACGTCGTTTCACGCACTTATGTAAAGTTATAAGTATCTTTATCTATGTCCGTATAATGTAGTCAATCCAAATGTTTGTGAGTTTGAATCCATAAAAACTCTGTGCATTTGATTTTGACATTTCCTGCATTCATATGATGGTTATGTGTAGTACTATTTTTTGTTCAAATTATTAACCTTGTGGGTCCTTTCAAGATGTGCTTTTAATGATAGCTCTTGGATTTCTGAATCAGATTTTAGATCTGTTTTAAGTCAGTGTTTTTTTCTTCTTTTGGTTAGCTTATTTGTTACTATGAAATTTCTTTAACTTTGTTGCTTAATTAATTAGGACAGGTTTTAAAATTTCGTTTATCTTCATTGGTTTTATTTAGAGATTGCAAAATGGACATGATAAATTGGATATATCCTTTTTATCTGCATTTTATTCCGGAATGGATCAAGAGTTTCGCTCTCACTTTTTAATGTGTCCGTCACGATTTATTATTTTTTTTTTATTTTTTGCGGAAGTGAATATTTACATAAATTTTTGCTTTTAGAGATAAAATGTGCAATGTTTGTGGATTTTTTCGGCTCAATCCTCATTTTCTTTGAGGATGACTTAGATTTTAGATTTGTATTCTCAACTATGTCTACTCCAATTCCATTTTAAACGAACATATCTATTTATCATAAAAAGTTAAAACTACTTAACACTCGAATTGATCTCCGAACCAAATTGCGATAGTGATGGTAAAAAAAACGATATTTTAAAATTTTCGTATTTTAATAACACATTTTTCATTTTTAAGCTCTTATTTTATGTATGGCAAACTGCCTTACTTTTTTTTTTTAATATATTCAAACGAGTCATTCATTTGGCACCGTTTGGTTGTTGAACATTGATTATATTTTTATATATAAATATTTATTAAATTGTTTTATTATTTAAAATAATAATAAAATAGTATAATATCATCAAAATTAGTAAATAAATAAAAACTAATTTGCATAATTAAAATGCAAAATTAGTTATGTATAACAATTTTAATCAATTTAATGAATTAATAATATAAAATTTACTAAAATTATAAATATTTTACTTAATAAATGATTTTTACAAAAAAAGAACAATAGTTGTCTTTTTTTATCTGTACATTGTCAATATCAATTCTGTCTTCCTCTTGATTTTTAGGTTTAATGATTAAATAATGTATTTAGCTTATGATCAGACCTGATCAGAAGGGGATCACGGACTGGTCACTCGCTGTTGGACTGCTATCTGTTCGCCATTGATGAGGAGGAGGAGAGGCGTGTACCTGCGAACGCTCCGATGCCAAAGTATGAAATTGGGCAGAGTGAGAGCAAAGCACAGAAAGGGCAAGATGTGAATTACCTGACCCTCTTGAGGAAGAGGGTATTTATAGAGAGACCCCAACGCTGGGCCAACGGTCACTTGCGTTGGGCTGGATTGCCAGGCCCAACCCAGGTGACTGTTAGGGCTTACGTGGCGTAGTGAAGACCAGGACGTGGTCTTCGCCCTAGTCCAACTGCTCCTTGATCTCCGGAAAGTGGGTTTGACCTGCTCTTTCGGACGTGGGCAGTTGGTTGATGACGTGTCCCCGCGGAGGGGAGCACGTGGAGAACGGGCGCCGGGCACGTTGTCCTCCCCGCGGAGGGAGCTCGCGAGGTTCCCCGGAGGGCATTGTTCTCCCCGCGGAGGGGAGCACGCAAGGATGTGGTCTTGCTCGATGGATCGGGGGTGCCCTGTTCGGCCGAAAAGGGGGCGTTGAAGACGTTACGGGACGTGCCGTCCATTCCGGCGGGGAGCGTGCCTTGCCCGTCCTATGGGGGTGTGTGCCCGGTCAGGCTAGTCCACTTAACGGGCCTTGTGCGTTGTTGGGCTGGACCGCGAGGCTGGGCCCAGACCAGAACAGGAGCCCCCCAAGTCGAAGCTCTATGGCGAAAGAGCGAGGACTTAAGGTCGTTGCTTCGGGGAGAGAGGTAGCGAAGCGGGAGGCTCGTCGGGTTTGTGCCTGGTGGAACGCGTGCCTGCGCGAGGGTCTCCTCGTCGTCGGTAGAGCGGGGCAAAGGTATGTGAAAAGACGCGACTGTCAGGTTACCGCCACGTGTCGCACGTCAAGTGGTAGTAGGGGCGGCTACCCTAGGTCATTTAAGAGCCTAGTGTCGCTTTGAGTCCCGCGTCGGGTTATAAATATAGGGGTCCCCGCTCATTTTTCTACTTTCCACCTTGCTGTCTTACCTGCGAAACTCTGAGACTCCTGCTCGTCCGCCGTCGTTGTAGATCGTCGCCGCGCCGTTTAGTTCTTCCTCCCGTTCGCCGCCATCACAAGTGAGTTTCTCTCTTTTCTCCTTTTATTTCTGCCGTTTAATTAGGGTCTGTGGTCGGGGCGTGACGAATACCCCGAGGAGAGACGCGAGTTCCGCCGTATCTGGCGGTTTTCTGGGTCAGTTCCGATGAATGCCCCGGGGAGAATTGGTTGTTCCGGTAAATGTCCCGAGGATGGGGGCTTTCTCCGATGAATGCACCGGGGGCGCGCGCCTTTTCCGATAAATATCCCGAGGAGGGATGATAAGTTGGCCTTTGAATTCCCCGTAGAGGAGCAGCGGGGAGTGCCTACTCGCTCGTCGTTCTCCCGTCTTTGTCGCCCTTTCACTTGACCTGCGGTGGAAGGGTGGATTTGATCTTGGCTATCGAATTCACCATTGTCCTCTGCTTTTCAGGTGTAGATGTCGGCCTTGGTACGGGGGACGATGGTCAAAGACAATGAACCCGAGGTCCCGGATTTCGACGAGCGCGTCCTCCCCGTCGAGGAGTGGGTGGCCGAAGAGCCGTTGTCCACCCCATCCTGCTTCGTGGCCGACGCGTCTGATGTCTACGCTACCGTCGAGGATACGCCTGAAGGGGAGCCGCAACACTGGCAGGTGTATCGCCCGAAGGAGCACCATCGCATTTGCTCGCGATATGGGCGGCGGATGTTTCCCATGCACGAGTTCTACTTCAAAGAGGCTCGACTCAGGTTGTCGTTCTCCGCTTTCCATCTGGGCCTCTTCGATTGGTTATGTTTGGCCCCGTCCCAACTGCACCCTAACGCTCTGGCCTTTATCCGCGCTTTCGAGGTGGTGTGCTTTTATCTTGAGGTGGAGGCCATGGTGCCCTTGTTTTTTCGCATCTTCCACCTGCAACGCCAGTCGGTGAACGGCCGTCAGGGATGGGTCTCGTTTAAGCAGCCGACCAAGCTCTTCAAGACGTACAACGATTATGTTCGAGATTTCAAGGGTCGGTTCTTCCTCGTGAAATCGATCACTCAGGAAGGCTCGGATACTCTTTTCACCGAGGGGGAGCGAATGGTAGACGGCCAGCGGTTCCTCGCGTGGCTCCCTAAGGTACATTTATTGTGGACCTCGAAGCACTTCAACCGCGGTACTGACTGGTATATCGTGCGG